ACAAATAATAATGGTTCGATCTTAGGGCTACACATGTCCGACTAATCTCATTTTTTTTATATGAATGATATATACTAGATGAATTCTATAATATGAACAGTTCAGATTATCAAAATAAAATCGAGACAAACGTCAACAGGCCGTCACAACGAGATGCTGTGACAACACATTCTCCTCCACTGTCACTCTTGACACTCAATTATCTAATAAATGTGAATCATTATTGATCTACTTATAAAATCTTTTATTATTTTATTAATTAGAAGTACCACATGAAGAATGTCGCATAGTACTATTTGATAACTAACTTTTTTTTTAATAAGCTGTTGAGATGGTTCATGTGGACGCATTATAAGGTCTATTGAGTAGGTCATCTATAAAAATTAGGTTAATTAAAATTTTGTAACCACTATGACAGATCAAATTTGTGCTTTGAAAAAATAAAACAAAAATATGATTTTGATAATAGACTATTTATTTTATTTTAGATAATCTAAATTTGATTATGTGATTATTGATATATGATCAAATTGATTTTTTACAGAGGTAATATTCTCACTGAGGTGATTTAGATTTATTGCATCTATCCAAAAGTTATGTTTGAATTGAGGGCTCATATTTTAAGACTTATATGATCTTATCAATTGCTAGAATTTCAGGAATAAATCATGAATTTTTTAGAATAGTATTAAAGATCTCATCAAAAACTTATAGTAGCTTGCCAAACAAAGGCTAAAAAAAAATTAAAAATAAATAAATAAAAAAGAGCCAAAAAATGTATGACTGACATAATATCTACAATTGGATTTAAAAGAGCTTAAGCCTTAAGCAATTTGGCGGGAAAACAAATTACTTAAATAAAGGGCATAATTAATATAAATCAAACTAAAGACATTAAGCATAACAGATAGATTACAAAATAAATAATTTGACTCATTAAAATAGGTCGAAATTGGCCCACTCGAGCACTCAAAATTAGCATGATGTCGTATAAGAAAATGAATCAAAGTGTGTGAATAATATATAGATTGTGATTGATCTAAAAAAATGCAATCCATATAACTCTGGGTGACGCCAATGCACTTGGACACTCATGCTAGAGGTCTATTTTTGAAATTATTGGGCTAATAGATCCAAAATTAAATTGTAATTGGTCAAAAGGACACCTATTTGTTCAAAATTTATATATTTATCTATCTATTCAAATACCATTTATTTGCACTTGTATCACCTATTTGTCTAACTATATATTAAAATGTCTAACTTATACGGACACGTGTTACCTATCTGTTCAAATGTAACTTATTTGTATATGTGTGACATATATGTTCAAATATAACACATCTGTACATATATCACTTATCTATTCATTTATATGTTTAATGTCACCTATCTATTCACATTACCACCATCAACCGCTGTCGCTAGCTGCCATTAGTCACCGTCGTTGGCCACCATTGTCTGCCGGTGACTTTCCCGATGACTTTTCTAGTGATTTTCTAGTGTCGATGATTTTTTAACGCGTGTCCTTATTATCAAAAACAATTAAACCTTTGACTAAATAAAATATGACCCCATAAAAATAATTTTTTTATCAATTAACCCTTGAATGTAAATCTCACTATTTAAATCAATAAAATTTTGTGTCTTGTTTATATACTTTGAAAGTGTGTGTAAATAAAATAAGTGTATCTTATAAGCCCTTCAGGAGTTAACTCAAAAAAATAAATAAATAGATAATTGCTTGGCTAAGTTTGATGACTTTATTTATTTATTCAATTTGGTCAAATCCAAAATCAAGAGATGGTCGCATGCATAAGAAAACTTCTCAAATGGCGTTCGCATATTGCGTGATTATCGGTTGCGCACGTGTTGGCGAAATGCATCATAAGGGATTAGCGCACAAAACACAAATGTAATTTAAGTAAATAAAAGAAATAATATTAAATTAAACCAAATGAAATCTTAAGTTCCATTAAATAAGATTGGTTACATGAATCATTCTTCTCCATTCGATTCTATCCAAGGTCATTTCATTAGTTAAATTAAGGAGATTCATATCACTATTTCCTACATTAGCTCGCTTCAATTTAGGTCTGTCTATTCTCTTAACACTTTCATCTACCGTTATTGTATCGCATCTCTTCACTATTATATTTGTTAGTCTTTGTTGTATATAACCAAATCATTTTAATCTATTTTCTCTCAACTTATCTTCTATCGATACTGCTTTTACCTATTCTCGAATATACTCATTCATAACTCTATCTTTTCCAATCTTGTCATACATCCACCTTAGCATTTTTATCTCAGCAACACTTATCTTATCTATATGGTGTTTCTTAATTACCTAACATTCCGACCCATACAATATCGTTGGTCTAATAACCGTTCTATAAAATAAATAATAATATAAAGTAATAGTGGTAAGAATTTTTTTTTTTAAATCTATGGTAAAAATTTAAAGTAAAAGTTTCAAATTTTATGTACCTCTATATAACTGAGAGGGAAATTTGTGCCGAACAAATAGGCCAAGCTAAACTTGCACGGACCTTAATGGTGGGTCGAGCTAGGTTGAATTTGAGTTTCAAGCACGGACTTGGCCATTGATTAGGACTAAGTTGTTCTATGAAGTCGTGCCATAGTTTAGGCTACGCACGTGCTTTAGTAATGGGCCGAGCTAGGTCAAAAGCGAGGCTATGTCATTGAGCTGAACTAAAGGTCCTAAAACTGTGCTAGTCCAAGGAATCTGCATAGTTGTCGAACTATGAGGATTTCGATTGGACTAGGCACAAAGAGTTCAAACGGCTGGCCGAGTTGTAGAAATAGTAGAATGGTTGGCCTAGATTAGCCTGGTTAGATGTAGTAGAAGTGAAATCGAGCTAAGCGGTTGCTCGGTGAGGGCATTCCACGTGAACCAATGAAGTAAGAAGAGAAATCCGCTCAAGGTATGCGTCAATATCATTTGGCGGTTTGACCAATGTTGTTTGGCAATATTGACGCATACACATGTAAGGAATAGAGAGAACAGTACAGTCACACATCCAACAAAGGACGACAGAAGTGTGCACACAACCTTAAAGGCAAGGTAGCAGTCTAGATAAGATGCAAGATCTCACACTGAGAAAGGGGTAAGCAAACTCTAACAACTCTCTCCCTCTACATTTCTTCTCTTTCAAGTGTGTTAACTTGATCGTCGAAGAGATTTTTCAGCAAACCATCCACTGAGTAGCTCACCTTTGTTGTGTTTTCAGTAAGCAAGACGCCGTTCAGAGCAAAGTAAGCTTGGTAGCAAGGTGTGTAGAAATAAAAAAATATTTACTCCTAGTACAATAACTATAATTTAGGCCTGGATATCAAGTCTAGTTTTTCCTTAAAATATTAACAATTTCTTGATGAATTAATATTGAAAAGTATGCAAAGAGTGTTTTAAAAATATTAAAAGATGTATTCATTTTTAGGGCGAATTACACTAATAGTCCCTATAGTTTGGGGACTTGTATTACTTTGATCCCTGACTTTTCAATTATGACACATTTGACCTTAAATTTTGAATCTTATTCTAAATAAGGGCAATTGAAGATATTATTTCTTAATTTTATGGGTAAGATTATCAATTTGATAAAATATAAACTAATTTGACCAAAATAAATGTCAAAAAAATATATTTGAATTTTTAAAAATTATTCCTAACCGCTAAAGATAAAATTATGTAAAATTAATAAATCTTTTAGACATTTATTTATTTTTTTTACCAAATTAATATTTATTATGTATTTGGATGATGATCATGTAATTGATGGTTATTTTTATTTTCATTAAATTAGTTCTATTTTTTCAGAAGTCAAATATGGCGACACTTTTGATATCATTATTAAACCAATTCATTAAATCAAAAATTTCAAAATTAAAAACATTTCATATATTAAATATATCGATTACACATTAAAATCTTACAACCACCCATTATATGATCATCATCCAAACATATAATAAAAATTAATTTGATAAAAAAAATATAAATAAATAAATGTCTAAAAGATTTCTACCTACTAGAGATAAAATTACGTAAAATTGATAAATTTTTTAGACATTTATTCATTTATTTTTTTACCAAATTAATTTTTATTATGTATTTAGATGATGATCATACAATTGGTGGTTGTTTTTATTTTCATTAAATTAGTTTATATTTTTTCAAAAGTCAAATATGACGACAAATTTGATATAATTATTAAACCAATCCATTAAATCAAAAAAATTCAAAACTAAAAACATTTCATATATTAAATATATTGATTATACATTAAAATCTTAATAGCCACCATTACATGATCATCATCCAAACATATAATAAAAATTAATTTGGTAAAAAAAAATGTCCAAAAGATTTATCAATTTTACATAATTTTATCTTTGTAGGTAGAAATAATTTTTAAAAATTTTGAAATATTTTTTGACATTTATTTTTGTTAAATTAATTTATATTTTATCAAACTGACAATTTTGTCTTTAAAATTAAGTAATGGTATGTTCAATTATTCTTATTTAAAATAAAATTTAAAATATAAATTAAAATATATCACAATATAATTTTATCTTTGTGGGTAGAAATAATTTTTAAAAATTTTGAAATATTTTTTGACATTTATTTTTGTTAAATTAATTTATATTTTATCAAACTGACGATTTTGTCCTTAAAATTAAGTGATGGTATATTCAATTATTCTTATTTAAAATAAAATTTAAAATACAAATTAAAATATATCACAATTAAAAAAATTAAAAATCAAAATAACATAAATTCCAAAATAGAAGCACCGTAATTCGCCTTAATTTTTAATATATATTAATAGGCAGACAATTTTCCCTTGTAATTCTCGCATTTTCTCGGTCGTTCCCGGCAGCCAAACGGACCCACATTTTACTATTTCCTGCCTTGTAACAAACGTTTTATATTTACATTATTAAATCAATTTATGTATGTTTCTCTCTCTCTCTCTCTCTCTCTCTCTATATATATATACATATATATCACTCTCAATTTCGAACACAAATTGGTGATAATTGGCCTTATTTTCTCCAGACAAACACCAAAGCAAGAGGAAACATTGAAGATCGAATCGCACAAAACTTGCCATCGCCACCTAAATTACTGGTAAAGTTTCTAAGTTTTAAATTCTACATTCTATTTATTCAAATTACTTTGATTTATCTTCAATTTGTTGACTTTTGGATCATATTAAACATTTCATATGAATTTATCGCATACAGTTGCAGTATTAGTTGATTAATTGGTTTATTCGAGTTCTTTTGAATTAGGTGTACGAATTTTAATGACAATTTTCTAAGATTAGGGTTTTGGGTGGTTCTCAGTTTAATTTATTCTCCAACTGGTTGTTTGGAAGCTGAGAAAGTTGCCATGAAAAGAAAAGTTAAAAATGGAAATTAAAGTTTGAAACTTTGATTCATGTATTAATTTAGCTCAGTCTAGTGGTAGTGTTTTTTGTTTTTCAGAGTTTGAAGAGTGAAAAAAAAAAAAAGAAGAAGAAGAAGAAGAAGAAGATTGCAAGACTTTCCTTTTCACACCTTTTCTCATAGGCCACACACACAGGGCATAAGATGAATGTTCCTTGTTCGTTGGTATTATAATTGTTCTGGACTTGAGATTCAGTCAAAATTAAGGTATTGCTTCTTAGGTTTTGTTGTGCTCCTTTTTGTTTATCCCATACTTTCCTTCGCCTTTAAGCAATTGCTGGTTGAATTTTATCTGCTAGGTTAGTCATCCATTTTGGTTTCTCAATGGATCTGATTTTCAGAATGTCCTGTATATAATCTGTTCCAACTTGGAGGAGTTGATGAATTAGATATGTGGGCTTTTCTTGTCTTAATTCTGGCAAGCAGTGATTAAAATTCTAGGGTGAATCTTTTATAGAGTAATTAAGTGTGTAAGAGCATCCACTGGTGTGTGTGTTTTATCCCGGCAAACATGAGATTGAACTAAAAGTATTGTTGTTTGGATTTTGCAATGAAGCATGGCTTACCATTGTATCTCAAAAACTATCTGAAAAAGATTTTGGTAATATATTTGACTTCAGATGCTATTTGTTATTCAGTAGAAATTGAATTTTTTCATTGTTTTAGTAAGTCATCATACGTTTTGCATATATTATTATTATTATTATTTGGAAGAACCTAAGGAGCATTTTTTCCCTTCTATTACTAGGTTAGCTTCTTTCTCAAAAAGAATAAGGATAGTGAAATTCTTGAGACTTTGTGCTGGCTCTTGCTGTGTCATTCAATACAACATATATATTGATGGTCTTGATGCAGAGGCAGGCCATCTCAATGTCTGTAATCATATGAACTTTTCCTCTTCAATATTGGTGGAAGTTGGAACAAGATGGCAGTTTCCATGCAAGAACCAAATCAAGAGAACCAAGCTGACAGGTACCCTTTGCTTATGGAGCCGCAGGAAAATAATGAAAATCAGGTTCATTTTATTGACATAGAACGGGGTTGTGATGCTTCCTCATCAGGCTCATCTCATAATGGTTCTCCTTGTGGCTCAACTCTGCCCCATCATGAAGATAGACTGTCAAATAGTGTTCGGGTGGTTCCTATTACCCAATCTACTTCATCATCGTCGAATGAATCAAACTCTAGGAACTCTTCAGTTACAAGAAGAGGGGAAGGGTCTGGCCGTCGTCATTGGAGCCCATTTAACACCGTCTTATGGCTTTCGGTTGAGCTAGTGTTCACTGTAGGCCAAATTATTGCAGCCATTATTGTTTTGTCTGTCTCAGGACATGAGAACCCACAAACTCCATTGTTTGCTTGGATTGTGGGTTATGCAGTTGGGTGTGCCGCAAGCGTTCCCCTCCTTTTTTGGCGTTATCTTAACCGCAACCAGGGTACTGAACAAGGGTCAACTCAATTGCGTCAAGATTCTTCCCAGGGAAACTCTACATCAGAACCTAATTCTTACATTACTATCTCATTAACTCGGGCCTCAGAAGAGGAAGATGGCCAGAATACATCTTCAGGCACTAGGACTGGTCAAATAATGGGAGCTCCAAATGCTAGGTAACACTTTTGCCTATATGTTCCTTATGAAGTTATGGTACATTGGAATTTCAAGTCTACCACTCATGAAGTGTATCTTTTGTTTCCTGGGTTTTGTGTCTATTTGTTTTTATTTGCATTGGTGACTTGTGCTGTTTTGTTCAGTCCATTTAGCAAAGCTTGTCTCTATTTAGAAATATTATGCATCAACACTAATTATGTTATGTTTGTTCCTTAGATGTTATAGCTCGTTTGTAGTTTAATGGAACACCATAACACTGGTTGGTAATGGGTAACATTATGAGGTTTCTTTTGTATCTTGGATTTTCTATTTGGTTTTTGTTTGTGTGTAACGTTAGGTTCTCTGCTGCAGCTTAGGCATTGGCAGATGGATGGGGACCATGGCAGCCCCAAGCACATAAAATTTCTTTTAGTTTCAGTATAAGAACCCTTTCATTCTTAAGATGATGAAGCACTGGCCCCCCAATAACAAAGATAACTGGCCCCTACAAAGAAGTGTACCAATCATTCTTAATAGCTTGGGAAGAGTTTTTTGTGTTGACGTCAAGAATAACACATGCCAATCTAGCCCCAACTACTCAGTGTTTTCTTGCTTCTTTTGTTTGTTTGTTATGGTAAGTAGAGGATAGTGATAAAAGAACTATACCTTCTCATTTGTTTTATGCATATGATGGAGGTAAGTTTGGTATTAACTTGAACTAACCAACTCGTGTTTGTGAGCAGCATTGAGCAAAACAAAATATTTTATTTTTTGGTAAGTGTGAAAAATCTTCTATGGCCCATAGATGTGAATATTAAACTCAACCTCCGATGTTCAAACCTTTACAAATAGCGACAATGTTATTAGAGGCGCGCTTAGGCTCATCAAGGTGCAGTTAGTGCGCTTCGGAATATCTTATGCCAGACAATGTAAAATAGGCCCCATAAAGGCGCATGAAGCATGTTTAGGCTCAAGGCACACGACTTGTACACTTCGTTTCACTAGGGTCTGTCTGTAATCACTGTAATCAGCACTCAGGGATAGCACTCAGGGATCATCTTGTAAATTGCATTTCTTGTAAACCCTAATCTTCTTTTATAAATAGGGGGTGATATTCTATCATTCCCCAAGCTGGTTACCCAAGCTTCACCATAAAGGCGCATGAAGCATGTTTAGGCGCAAGGCACACGACTTGTACACTTCGTTTAAAATGTTTGTTTGTTTCAATTACAACCTTTGATTTCACTTAATTTCATAAGTTTTGCAACCCAACACTTTTTGAGCCCTAATTATACAAAGACGTTGGTTGGATAGAGCTTTCTCTTCGACTAGACTAACAGTTGTTGATCTTCTTCTTCTTTTTCATCTCCTCTTTCTTCTTCTCCTTCTCTATGTTTATCTTGTTTGACACATCGATTTTGCTGCTGTTATCAAATTTTCATGATTTACAAGTTAGATGTTTGTGTTTATGTGAATCTTGAATTATTTATCTATGATAAAATATTTGTGTTTGTTGGTATTTATGTTTTAAAATATTTAATATTTTATTTTACTTATGTTGAACCTTGAATTATTTGCTTATATTAAGTTATCTATTTTATATCGTCAACATGAGGCTTGCTTCGAAGAAGCTCGTGTCTCACCTTGCGTCTAGGCCCTAGGAAACCTTGGCTCTTCAATGCGCCTATCACTTTTAGTAACACTGAATGACAACAAGCCTGACAACACAGACCAAGCCCACCCCAACCCCAACAAAACAACCACCACCACCAAAAATAATGAAAAGGACACCCACAAACATGCTGACTGAAGCCCATGCAACATGGTAGTTCTTGTTCTTAGATTGGTTTTAAACTGCTAGTTAGATGTTCAATTAAGTGAGCTTTGCATTAGTTTTATAATGATTTGATATGTCAACTGTATGGTTTACCAGTGAAATGCTTTCTTCTGAGCAGGTTAAATGCCCTGATGGACCACTTAAAGATGGCCTTGGATTGCTTCTTTGCAGTATGGTTTGTTGTTGGCAATGTATGGATCTTTGGTGGGAATTCATCTTTTTCTGATGCTCCCAATTTGTACAGGTACATATTAATGCCTTGTAAAATCATTGTCTTTTGTTCTCACCCTTTTGAATACCTGACATATTCATGGTTTATTTGCAGATTATGTATAGTGTTTCTTACATTTAGCTGTATTGGGTATGCTATGCCCTTCATTTTATGCTCAGTGATTTGCTGCTGCTTGCCCTGTGTTATTTCATTCTTGGGTGTCCGTGATGACATGAATCGAATGAGAGGGGCTTCTGAAGAAACTATTAATGCTCTGCCAACACACAAATTCAAGTTAAAGGATAAAGGTAGTCGCAGCAACTGTGACAGTAATCCAGGAGTTGATGAAGGTGGTTTTGTGGCCGCAGGAACGGAAAGAGAGCGTGTAATCTCAGGGGAAGATGCTGTAAGTTCTAGATTTATTCAAGAGGTTTATATTCTTCAATAGTTTGGGAATCCTAACATGGATATAGTACTGCCTTGTTTTATAGTTCCCATAATTTCAGTGGCGGATGCAGAAATTCTATATAGAGGGGGCCAACTTTAATGCGATTGTGACAGTTGAGAAAATGAATGGTCTGACAACTAACTTTCGCCGGTCAAAAAAAAAAACATTAATGCATTTAAAATTGGCAACAAATTTTAATTATTTTATTATTAGCAAAGATGTCATAGTTAAGAAAATCACTGGTCTATTTTTTAATACACGTCGTTAATTTTTTTGGTGACAATTGCGATAAATTGAATAGAGTACGATTATCAAATTGACTTATTATTATTATTTTTTTTTGTAAATAATATACACGAAATGTCCGATAGAAAAAACAGTTCTAATCATGAAAACAAGGCCTGTGGCCACCCCCACCCCCAGCCCTCCCTTCTGTCCGCCATTGCATAATTTGTTCTTGTTGATCAAAACATAGAACCGTTTTTGTTTTATTCATATCCAATATGTCAAGTAAGGCACGCCCTATGTTGTTGTGAAATAAACTGCACACACACGAACAACGGCAAGCAAAAACAATCACAAACAAAAAACCACGGCAGGCATGTTAAAAAAAACTGGTGGAACTAGTAAACCGATCCAATCTGGTCCGAACTGCCAGTTTGGTCCAATTTGTATTAGCTATGGTTTTGGCTGTAATTTCGAAAATGCTAGAACTGTTTGTATCAGTCAGGTTCGTAGTTTTAAGGTTTCGGTCATGGTTCTAACTAAACCACGAAATATTTGTTTAATATTTTTTATTTAAAAACAAAAGGGTAGAAGCAGTTAGCAAGGTTCAAAAAATACTAATCTTGATTGTGAAATTGACAAGTTTCAACCAACTCAACTGTGCTAATTGTTGTTAGTTTGTTTACTATTATAATTGAACCAAACCAAACCCATTTCTTTAGTTCGGTTCTAGTCTGATTACACAGACTCGTTTGATTATGGTTCCAATTTTTTGCGAATTGTAGGGAGCGGTTCGGTTCTTAGTTTACTTTAAAACCGGACCAATCCCATCTGTGAACACTCCTACAATGCATTTACGTTGTTCAAAAAGATTGCCCATGTTCACGGCTTGCACCAACTGTGCTAATTGTTGTTAGTTTGTTTACTAGTATAATATATATATATATATATAATATCTCAAGTTATATAAAATATCTAGAACCATAGAACTGAATTGAACCAAACCAAACCCATTTCTTTAGTTCGGTTCTAGTCTGATTACACAGACTCGTTTGATTATGGTTTGAATTTTTTGCGAATTGTAGGGAGTGGTTCGGTTCTTAGTTTACTTTAAAACCGGACCAATCCCATCTGTGAACACTCCTACAATGCATAAATTTACGTTGTTCAAAAAGATTGCCCATGTTCACGGCTTGCACCAGTTCACTATACTAAGAGAAGAGAAGAGTTACAATGCGGCTGTTGTAAAGACAATAAAGTCAATAATATATGTGCTAGGATTTATAAGCAAATTACCGTCATACCCTTGCTTGGATCTGCGCTTGCATGGTGAAGTACTAATCAAGCTCCACAAACCCAACATATGTTAGATGTGAATCGTAGTCACTATGTCAGTTATGCCCCAGTTCTTGCATTAATCTTCACTATTTCATGTTATTATGAGGTAGTGGAAAACATTGAGGTGTTCTTGCTACATTAGGCACCCTACTTTGTTGCCATCTCTGCCTTTATTGTTGTCGTTTCTTTTTCAGTGGTCTTGCTTTGGCCTATGCTGAGTGCTTTAATACTTTCAGGTGTGTTGCATTTGCTTGGCGAGATACGCAGATAATGATGAGTTGAGAGAGTTGCCTTGCTCTCATTTCTTCCATACAGAGTGCGTAGATAAATGGCTGAAGATCAATGCATCCTGTCCCCTCTGTAAATTTGAGATTGGTGACAGCAATGGAAATTCATCATCTACAGGAGAACCCAGCCAGCAAGTGTGAAGTATCAGGGGATTGAAGTTACACGGTACACTAAATGTGATCATATCATGGGATCAACTTGCTCTTTTAGTGGGAACACTTCATCTTAAATTGAACCTTGCCCCCCTTTGTTGCCACTGAATCCGGGATGTACAATTTGAGTCAAATCAATAATCTTGTGAAGCTTGTATAATATTATTTTCAATTTCAATTATTCACATCAAATTTTAAGTTGGAAGGCTGTGCATGAATGTTGACTACTATTCTCTGGAATGAATGAATGATTTGAACATGGATTGACCTCTGCTTTGTGTCTTTGGTTTGTTGGGGCTTAAGCACCTGTTAATGACAAACTTCTCAAAGTTAAAATCAATGTCAAAGATCTCTCTGGCTTTTCCCCATGTCGCATTTTGGAGCGTTAATAACTTAGTTCATAAGATTTTCACAGAAAGGAAAACAAATGTGAGACGCTTCCAAAATGTGAGTCACGCTTGGGGTTCACCATATATGGGGATCCCATTCATTCCTTCACACACTTCCAAAATGCGTGCACAAAAACATACCACTTTGTTAGTCTAAAATAGTAGAATTCACAATTTTGGACTAATCAAATGTTGTGTTTTGTTCACACACTAATTCATTTTTCCTATTCTGTGAAAATCCTATGTACACGTAGATTTACTCAAAATTATGGAGAATTGTTAATCTGTGCAGTCATGCTTTGCCTATTTGAGATTTACTCAAAACAAACTTAACGGGAATTGTCTGTCTGTGCAGTCATGCTTTGCCTATTTGCTTCGCATTCTCTTCCATAACATCCATTTTTAATCCTTGAAGCACTCTTGGTGCAGTGGCACCCATCTAGAGAGATTCTTAATTTCTATCTGGCATTGTTTAGATTGCTGAATTTTGTTTATAAGGCCATGTTCAATTCTTAATTTCTAACTGGTCTTGCTTAGGCTGCCAAATTTCCTTTATGATTGTTTTTAACACCATGTTATCATATTTTCTGGCTGACTTTCTGGAAAGCTTATTTCTTGCTCTTGAGACCCATGTTTGACAGGGGTCTGCTTGGTTATGTTTCCATTTTCTGTTTTCTATTTTCATTTTTTTTTTTTTTTTTTTTGTTGGAAACACAGAAAATTTGTTTGGCGAACTGATACCTTTTTTGGGAATTGCATTGTAGCTTATGAAAGCTTATCATACTGTAAAGAAAATTCATTACAAGACAGGTGCTCTTGATCTTATTTTTGTTATTATGCTAGTGAAAAGGGAAACAAGCTGGAAAAGAAAAAAGAAAAACTCGGAAACAAACTGCTAAATTTCTCTGCACCATTTTCAGCTCATACATGAGCTAAGGAGCTGTTTGCAGCTCAAATAAACATCCATGTTACTGAAACCAGACTGATAATTGGCAACAAGCTTCCACTCAACTTTGCTACATCATTGCTGCTTGGAGTGGCTTTTGAGTTGAAACTCGAACCAGTCCCAGAAGAAGAAGATGATGATGAACCAGATGAAGTAGAAGCAGAAGTTGGCAGTGAATCTGTCGTTGAGCTCATGCTGCTCGAATCTACACCTGCTTCTTTGAAGATCTTTGCATCAGGTGAATCTGGTGAGAGATTGAGTAAAGCTGTAAACATTAAACAAACGATTAGTGAATTTTTCCTTTTCAACTTTTTCTCGTTAGTGAAATTTTTAAGATTTCTGTCATTTTTTTTTTTGAAGTTTTCAATCTTGTTTAGTCTAGAAAATTTAAAAAAAAAAAAAAAAAAAAATCTCTATTAGTAGTACAATGGCCCTGTTTGGTAGAGCTGTGGGAAAGTGCTTATAGCTTATGCCTAAACAGCTTATAGCTTATAACTTTCAGCTTAAGCTGATTTCCAGCTTATTCTTAAAGCATCTCCTGCCCCACTTAAAGAATAAGCTGTTTTCTGACTTCCACAAAGCTATAAGTTATAAGCTATAAGCTAAACCAAACACATCAAAATAGCTTAAATTAAGCTGAAAGCTGAAATAAGCTGAAATTAAGCTGTACCAAACAGGGCCAATATAACCTTCCTAAACCAAATCAAGACAACACTCACTCTGTGCACTCAAAAAAAGATACATTTTTTGAGCTTTATTTATTTTATTTTTTTTAAAAATATTATTATTATTTTTTTTATGTTTCAGATCTATCTAGCCTAGTAAAGTATAAAAATTTTTGAAAAAATTCCGTAAAACTAAAAATAAGCCAACTAAAAATTTGCTAAACAAGCAATTGTCACCCCACTAGAAATTACACTTCAAAGCATTCACATATTGAGATAGACACACAGAAATGCTAGACACAAAAATAAACGATACGCATCCTTACATCTGTGGTTGGTTCTGTGGTTTATTTATGTGTCGATACACAAATCAAAAACCTAATCCCAAAAAATAAAACCATTTATTTTTGGTTTGGTATAGTTGGAGAAATTACAGGGGCAATTGGAGACTTTGGCATCAATGTTGCAAGCTGAGGGCATTTGAAGTGCCAGAGTGGTATTGACAGGGAGGCCCATAGAAGGATCAGTGCTCTCCTTGATAAGAACACACAAACATTTTGGCTTGGCACTCTTCACTTTCAGGGTGTCGTCGCAGCACTGCTGGGTCGGCTTCTTGGCAGAGCCGCTCACGAATGGAATGCAGGCCGCCAGGTTGGCAAGCTGGTCGGCGCATTCCTTCTCATCTTCCTCCATCATCGCCATTGCTGCCACCACCAACATCAATGCTAAAATGGACAACATTGTGAGCTTCTTGGTCCTCCCCATTTCTCTTAGTGAGTGCTAATGTGGCAAGTGTAAGTGTTTTTATACGGTTTTGGGGGCCTCTTTGTCTGTTGTTCCTATGTGTTCTTTGTTTGAGGAGGAGAAGGGGTGCTTTATATAGAGTTAGGTAAGTTAGGTATTTACCATATAAACTAATAAAATCCATAAATTTATCTGTTCTTAGTCACAGTGTGACATGCAATCGCTCTCCCAATCTCATATAGAGTGTTATAGACTATCCTGATCGGCCTATAGCAGAAATGTGAATCAAGAAACACTTATAAGATTTGAAATGCAAACTATTAATAAAAGATGTATGATTGATGATTTTTTCCCCTAACAAAAAAAAAAAACCTCTAAGAATATTGTACTTTAGTAACAATTATTACCAGAATCAGTGCTGCTAGGTTAGGTTCACATAATTGTTCAAAACTAAAATAAAATATGTGTGGTTTAGATACATTGAAGTGTAGTGGGGATCACACCTTAAATCAATCTGGACCATCTATTCACCTTTATGTGAAAAAATTGTGTTTCAAATTTGTAGATCTAGCATTTTCCTAGTGTGTAACCATGTGATTGAAAGTTTAGGAAAGGTTTTATAGACAAATTTAGTCCAACCATGGCTAGGCTTACATTTTTTGTCACTCATTGCCTCAATCAGGCGTTAGGCTATGTTTTGTAGTGATGTGTTATCGAATTTTCTTATATACTAGAATGTCTGATTTGAGATAATTTTAATGATATTTATAAATAAGTTTTCATTAATTAACCAAATAAAAATTGTTGTAGGGTTCTTGATTGAGGATTTCACAGAGGAGTGACATTGAATGCAATAAGAAGACAATGGGATAGGCACTTCATTTACTGCATAGCAAGAACTTTGAGAAATGCAAATTCCACCTTCCAAGGGAGACTGAATTCAATTTCTTTATGGTTTTTTTGCTTCCCAAGGGCATTTCCTTCACCATTATTTTTTCTGAGGAGCTCATCATCTTACATATGATTTGTATTATTGCTTGCATGCTTGAGTGGTCTCCATTTTACCATCTGTTGAGCCACTTCCAAGTTCACTATCATGGACAAGGATCATATGCAATTGTTTTCTTTTGAATTACACATCTTAAAGCAACATAGTTTTGCTTCAACTTTAAAAGTAAACCGTTGAATTATCACATCAAGATCATTTCAGAGATATCCATGACAGAATTATCATCGTGATGAGCATGAAGGCTTTCATTACTTGCAGAAACTTTAAAATTTCAATGGATGGATCTTATCTGTGATGGGCAAAAGTCAAGTGTGTCGTGTACTTAAACATAACCTTGACAAGCAAAATAAACTAAACAGAGAGAAGCACTAATTTAGTAAAAGCATACATGCCACACCTAATATTCTTTTGCCCATTTATACATTCAGTAGATGATTTCTAAAATTTCCAGAACAGAACTTCTATTTCCTTTGAGTACCTTAGTGATTGATTACTAATTGTCCCCCAAATCTCTGTGTCTGTAATGTATTACTAATTGCACGATTGTGCCTTAAACATTCTTGCATCAAGCTCGGTCCATAGTATAACTTGGTGACAGAGATTCATCAAAATCTTAGGCAGGAAGCACACCTCTTCTCCGAAATGAAAACCGAAAGAAGCTTAAGAAAATAATTCAGAACCTCAAACTTGCTAGAACAATGTGATGTGGGCTAATTTCAAATGTTGGTTTTGTTTATGAGTTTGAAAAGTCATGGTTATGTTGTGTCATTGTGCTCTTCTCCGGGTTGAGAGGACTTGGTCTCGTGGGCTTGTGAGTGGAATTTTTTCTAACTAGGTCAAATCAAGCTTCTTTATTGGACAAGATGATTTAATTGGGTTCATCATACTTCGATATATGCATGTATTCTGAATCCATGCTATTTTAGAACAAATTTACAAAGTAAAACCCAACATTTTTGTTTACTTATTTCTGTAACCCATGTTTTGTTTTTCTAATTAGGTCAAGTCAAGCTTCTTTATCGGACATGATGATTTGATTGGGTTCATCATACTTTGATATATACATGTATTCTGAATCCATGCTATTTTAGAACAAATTTATAAAGTAAAACCCAACAAATTTTCTACTTATTTCTGTAACCCACCCATGTTTTGTGAAGTACGTTCAAAACAATTCGCATTTCAGAAATAAATTTTGTAATGAATGAAGTTTAGAGCAAAATCACACAAACATTGGAGTGAGTTTTCCTGCTCTTACTATGGTGCAACCCAGCCCGAGGACATTATGGAGATGGAAAAGGTTTAGTGATCTTCATGAAATTTTCATTTCTTTATCAGCCAAGGCAATACGATTCATGAAAATATTTTTCTTCATTTTACTTAAAAATGCTACCCAAAACAAGCTATATTTTGCTGGTGGATTAATGAAGATTACAAACCAATAATCCCAGATAACTAGCCCAAAAAAACATAAAAATACCCACACAAAAAAAAAAAATAAAAAAAGTTAAGTCTTTTCTTTCACAATTACACTGGCATAGACCCAAGTGGAACCAAAACTCTTGCACTACTTGCACACACAGCTCTAATAAGAAGCAAAACATGCAATTATGTGAGCAGTGATACATCCTCTAAAAATAGAGCTCTAGACATTTGGCAATGAAAAAACAAAAATTAAAAAACAAGGCACAAACATCACTATCACTGTAGGGACCACACCCATTAGAACTCATTAGAGTTCCTTTATTAGAGCTCTCAATCATTTTTTATTCACAAAACCACAACATCAAATAGTCATTAGCCCCACTCTTTTGCACTCATAAGAAACAAACGACATGAAAATCGATAATTTAATGAAAGGACAAAAAAAACTGAAGTTGATTAACATCCACAAAATTATACATCAGCAGAACTGTCCACTGGAAAGAAAAGAAAAAGAAACAGAAAAATATTGAAGAGATCCAACAACCCTATTCTTTCAAATCCATAACTCTTTTTGTTCACCTCAAGTAAAACCCAAAAAAAGAACTATTGAAGAGATTCTAATGTTTATTTTGCATTTACCAAATGAACAAAAGGATACATGCCCATACCCAACTCCACAAAATGTCTGAAATGTCCTTACCGCACCGGCTGCTGGTTGTAGTGGTCCTTCACCTTTTTCTTTGCAGCGGCAAGCTTTGCATTCCTTGCAGCAGCCTCGTTTGCAGCAGCTCTTGCAGCAGCATCCATTTCCTTGCTTGATTTTTTCTTCTTCATGGATGCCACTTTCTTTATCTTCTCTTTCACATCGACAGATGTATCTTCAGCTTTCTCAGTTCCGGCAGCTTCATCGGTTCCATTTGTGGCGTCTGCACCGTTGGGTTCATCCTGCTGTTCTTTAGCCTCCTTTGAAGACTTATCCTTCTTTTTCTTCTTTTTTGCGCTTTTGCTCTCCCCTGGAGCAATTTCCTTCTTCTCCACCTCTCCATTGGGATTCTCTAGCTTGTTCTCTTCTGCACCACCTGCAAATGCGAGTGAGAGGGCAATGACTATTTATGTAAAAAGAATTAGGACAGATGAACACAGCTTTATCACATAAAGGGTTGTAAAACAAACCCAACTACTCGAGTTCTGCATATTAAAATCTCATTTCAGATCAGCTCGTTATGTAAAACAAGCCAAACTTGAATACATTTTAAAACTCGTTCAATTTTCAAGCAAGTCTGAACAATCCACTATAAATATAAAAATAAAAATAAAAATAAGCTACTCGAGCTTGACTCGTGATCGGTTTGATTGAAGCTTATTAGACATCAGCTTGAAAGGTAAACAAGCCAAGCTTGAACATATTTTAAAGTTCGTCAAGTTTTCAAATCACGATTGAATAACCTACTATTTGACTTGACTCGTTTACAACCCTAATTACATACTGCTAATCCAGACCACAAGCCAAATGGATGCAAAAATGATCAGGATAAAAATGAAGAACAAAATCATAATTCAAGCTAATAAGAGCAGATAATCTTTCATTATATCATTTTCTGAGAGGCAAATTGGTAACACAAGCAAGTTTGTAGTTCAAGCTTTACATTCAGCCCAAAAGCAAGAACAGATATAATAGGGTAGACACATGCTGAAATCAAGAAATTTGCAGGAAAAGGATACAATTGGCATAATGGTCAAACAAGTGGTAACCAGTTATTTCACGAATTAAAATTTCAACAGCAATTAAAGCTCTAGGTAGTGTTTAGTTCATTGGAATGAAGGTGGAATGGAATTATAATTCCATCAGAATGTCCATTCTCACATTTGATTCACTTAAAAAATGATTTTAAAATGCACAGCAGATGGAATCATCATCCACCAATGCAAGGGAATGGTCATTCCACAAGGAAGCTAAGGAATGACCAATCCATTTCATTTCACTTTCATTATAGTGAACCAAGCACTAACTAAGATGATATGATTGAACAAAATGGAAATGGTGAAAGTTTAGTCAGCTTCCTTTGATAAGGAGATTATTTTTCAATTAGAAGCATGCCACTATACTTACAACTTTGGCATTGAACTAGACAAGAAAAGTTAAAATTCTACAGTTATCCAAGGACATAATCATGCATTGCAACAATTTTATTGGAAATAAATAAGACTAAACATGAAGTGTTGAAAAAAGCATATATATGAAAGTAACTTTTTTTATTAGCTCTATATAGAAGTAACTTATCGGAGTGTTATTAATAATAATTGATCATTATGTTACCACAGGAGTCATCTTGGCCAGTGGACTCGGACTTGGCAATTCCGAGTTCAGCGAGCATGGCATCAAGTTCTGCAAGCTCCTTCTTCTTCAATTCCTTCTTTGACAGCTGCCTTTCTGGATCTTTAGGTGCCAACGAAACTTCAGCAAGCTTCTTAACAACTGGTTCTTTTTCCACTGGAACCTCGGGTTCATGATCATGCTCTTCATCGTTATCATCATCAATTTCGTCAAGACCTTCTTCACTTTCACTTTCCTGGAATCCACAAGGTTCCAAAGTTCATCAATCTAAGATTCTATTTCTGTTTCTCAAAAATTTTGTGAATTAAAACCATTGAATCTAGTGAAAGGTAAAACAAAATTTCAAAATATTTGAACCACCACAAGAACAATAATCACGAGAAGGCACTCCAGAGTCTAGCTCATCTCGGTTGATTGAAACCAAGGGGAAATGAAAAACAACATCAGAGAGAGAGAGAGAGCATACACCTTATTAAGCGATTCACTGGACTAACAAGAAGGGAATAGGTTGTCTCCAACAACTAATTTATTGACCAAAATAGTTTTCTTCTGTTTCTTACTAGCAAAACCATTAAAAGAAGAAATGAAAAAAGATGAGATATAAGAAGAAAAATGATGAGATGACCCTTCAACTAGAAAACATCGTGAAAAATGAACAACGGGTCAAACTGATAGAGTAGACCAGCCACAACTAAAGAAATAGAGAACTAGAAGAGAAATATCAATCTTAGCAACCGTGACAACACTCAGCGGTTTTCCTTACAACAATTGTAGGTACGTGAGCCTAGCCCCGCTACATGGCATTGCCACATCATTGCCATGCCATCCTTTAGTGGCTTCTCCAGCAAGCCTTGCATGCCAAAGTGCCATCTCCAGTCAACAAAACGTGGACCAACCAGCAAACCAAGCATTACCACGCTCAACCTCACCAACTCGAGAGGTCCGTGAGTCAGCCTGCTTAGTTACCTAGCTTGCCGATAGCCCCACCAACCAAGGCCTCACCCCTAAGGAACCAAGACAATCTACTTCGGCCAGGAGCAAGGCCCAATTACCTCCCTTGGGACCACCAAAGGACTTGTGTATTGGAGACCAGAGCATAAGGGTCGTCCAAGAGCTTGCTGAGCCGCTAAGGTGAGGCATGCTTGGACTAGTCTGAGAGAGAGAGAGAGGCACGCTGGGACTAGTCTTAGATGGTTCTATCATACCTAGCTTTTGAACTACTCTAACACGCCCTTAAACGATTCTATCATACCTACCATCTGCCCTGTATATGATACACCATTCAAGGCTGACATCAGAAATTACATAGTTGATCATATTTCCCTCCATTTTTCCTAGCCAACAGAGTCGTGCCACGTGTACTCAGCTGAGCTGGCAGCCCCAATTTCACCACCCTATATAAAGGAGACCTCCATGTGGACAACAACACACTAACCACCTTGCTTTTTGGCATATCATCTTTCCATTGGCACCTTGTCTCTCTAGTAAGATTGTCATCGGCTCTCTCCTCTTCCACCACTAGTGGTCTCTGCATCTGCCATCTTCCAGAGGGCACTCCTCAACCAGTTCACCCCACTCCCCATAACGATCAACAACAAACCAAAGAGATGTCAAGAAGACAACCCTGCCCCACTTTCCCTCTTTCTGTGGTTGCCATTGGTCCAAGATTCTAAGATTATTTTCCATCCAGATCACGTAATTAATTATCAAAATGGACAACACCAATTGATTCAAGTCCCTCAACTTTTCCAAAGCCTCTACATCATTTCTCCAACAAGAGGTACCCAAAACAACCCAGCTATCTCTTTGCAAAATTATATTGCATTAAAACTCAACCATACAAAAGGGAACAGTCTGATTATCTGTTTGAAGATTTTTTAAAGCATGAAACCATATACATGCTAGCAAAGCACATTAAGCCCTTGGGCACATTTAGGCATCAAGCCTTATGTTCCAGACCAGCATCTAGGGTAAGCTAATTAGAAATTCAGGACAATAATTAACATATGCACACACACAACAAACAAAAGCACAACCATTCAATGGGATGCTAGTGGGAAAATTTTTGCACATAATGTTGTAGACATCAACATGGCAACGCTGCGCTTTGAGCCTTCAACATGGAACCCATGTGTTAAATTGAAATTTGCTTCTACGGCCACTTCAATAAATTTAGAATGCCTCAATCAATTTGGCTAGATTCTCATCACATGGTTGGTGAACCAGTAAGCTCGATTAGTTGGTGAACCAGTAAGCCCGATTAGTCAATGCTCTTATTTCCATTTCTTCTCTATGTATGTATTCTTCATTAAAATTACCTTCTTTTTTTGTTTTTAATCTATTTTTCAATTTTCATTCTGTTCTTTCAGTCAACTGTTTTCTTCGAAAGTAACAACAATCAACTGTTTGGTGCTTCACATATTGATATTGTATAATTTGTCTAGCAACAATGGCAGTGACTGGACATCACTTTTACAGACATTCTTTGATGCTGAAGACTGAAACCCATTCCTTTTCCTCGAGGCCAGCAAACCAAATGTGAAATTGTATCTTGCTAGTTGCTAGGATCTATAACTTTTGCTGGCATCTGCTACAAGAATACAATTATTCCTTGATCCTGGGATAAAATGACATCTCATATTTTACTTTCTGCAAACTACATTGACATTCATGCCATCCAGATTGGCTAGATTTTTTACAATTATGTATGATTCAAGTTTAATAAGGATATCTACAGACCAATAGAATACAACCTTGCAAATAACAACACATAACAGCCAGTGACTCACTATTGAGAGACATTGTACAACAAACCACTGGTGTCATGATTGCTCCATTCATAAAATAAGTAATGAACTAGCTAAAGCTCATTCGTTTTAGTGGCTGCTGATGGGACTTAAAATCAAGAGATTAGAGACTTCAAGGGTAAATTCACGCCACTTACACCACTTGTTCAGGTTTCTAGAGTGCAGATCATCCAAACAACCATTGTTAGCTTTAGTAGTTCGATATTTCTTAATGAAGAAACTCAAATGACAAGCAAGGAGACTCAAACCAACCATGTGAGCAACAACAATGACTGGTGGTGGAAAAGCAACAACTGTGGCACTACTTACAATCAACAGATAAAGGCTCCCGAAAAAATATCATGCAGACATGTAATCATTTGGTGGATAACCAAAAAATGTACTAAACTTAATACATGAGTACGGCATTGCCATTGAAAAGTACCTCAACCTAACCATACTCACAGCTCAGAATTACATAGGAAGTTTATTCCTACTAAAAAAGAAATGTGCATACGCATGTAGAAAGATAAATGATTTTCCAGAAATGTAGAAGATTTTTAGAAATCTATATAACTATTCAAGGATCATACTTGAACTAGAAAGTACAAGCTTTGACCTTCGGTCTCTGCCACAGCTAATCAAATGCTAAGCTTTGACCTTTGGTCTCTATGCGCACACACCTCTACTTTTGGCGCTCATATGTGTCACACTGTCTCACCAATATAGGACTGTGACTGTCATATCTCCAAACACTCTTGAACCACCTTCAACCCCAATTTGAAGTGTGCTGCATTCATAGACACTCTTGATCTACTTTAAATCCTTGGTATTTCCAAAATAGAGTGCCCCATCCTTTCTTCATATATACTTTGCTAATCGGGTCATGGAAGAGAAGGCAACGATCAAAGATTCTACCTTCCCCTATCAGTAATCATAATCAACCTACATATTAAAATGGCATTCATTGTGAACATTTTTCATGCATTGACAATCTACAGTCATCCTATTTCTATATCGATTGTGGTGTTAATGTTACGAAAGCAAACAGATTTTGGCAAAGGTGTACATGACAAGTTGACAATGAGCATAACTAAACGCAACTATAGAAGCAAGACAATTCAGTTAAAACATTAGAAATAGTACTTACCCCAAAAAATATATATTACAAATACTGAATATATGGGCAGGTGGTCATTAGTGAATGGGCAAACTATGATTCCCTTATGGCATGCACTAAGGAAGGTGCAGGACCTTGAGAGGAAGAGAGTTGGGCCAACCTTAAAGTAGAGAAATAGAGACAATAAGAGAGAAGTCTATGAGCTAGTCGGAGCGAGTGAATATAGCTATAATCTAAATTGCTTTTGTGTGGAGGTGGAGACTTCTTTTTAAAGGAGGGTTGGAATATCAAGGCCAACTCACCCTAGCTAGGTGTCCCATGCTGACTCATCCCCTCCATGTAACTACACATGCTCAGATCTCAAAGGTCATATCGAGGAGCAGCAGTTGTATGTATGATACACCATATAAGGTGATGATATCAATATATGGATGCTCTATGGATTGGACTCAATGATGGTCGGCTACAGTGCTATTAAAGGCGATAGGTGCACTGAAGTGGAACCAAGGCTTCCGAGGGCCTAGGCACAATGCACAAGGCACAAGGTGCAAGTCGAGGTGTGACCTTCATCGAAGCAAGACTCATGTCGACGATAAAAAATAGATAATTTAATATAAACAAATAATTCAATGTTCAACATAAGTAAGATGAAATATTAAATATTTTCTAACATAAATACCAACAAACACCAATATTTTATTATAGACAGACAAATAATTCAAAGTTTACATAAATACAAACATCTAACTCATAAATCATAAACATTTGAAAATAGTGACGAAATTGAAGTGTTGAACAAGATAAGCATAGAAAAGAGGTAGAAGGAGGAGGTTGAGGAGATGATGAAGAAGAAGGACAATTATTAGTCTGGTTGAAGAGAAAGCTCTATCCAACAATGATTTTGTAAAATTAAGGCTCAAAAAGTGTTGTGTTGCAATGTATGTTTAGGGGTTTAATCCCCTATAGCCGCATGTAAACAAAAAAACAATGAGATTAAGTGAAATCAAAGGTAGTAATTGTAATAAACAAACATTTTAAAAGAAGCATACAAGTCGTACTCCTTGAGCCTAAGCTGAAAGTGCACACTTCATTCGCCTTTATGGGGCTTACTTTACATCGCTTAGCATGAGATGTTCTAAAGCGCATTGATTGTGCCTTTAATAACACTGGTCGGGTTAAACTGTATGGTAATGGGTTGCATCTTCTTCCTCGTCATTTGCTACAAAACAAGCCCTTGGATGCACCATGGAATGTCCCTTCCCAAAGTCCTCCGATGATCAATTTAGTAAAAGCTTGAGAGAGACTACAATGGAGGTTTAGGATTTGGTGGATGATAACGTACCTCTCTCATATGGTGACTTTTGCATACAAATAGGACATACCTTCTAGAAAATCTCTTCCATGTCTTGGAAGAATCATTCTATTAGGCTTTACCAGTTGGAGTATGCCACGTCAGCCTTCCCCCTCGTGCACAACTCAGAGGTATAAAGACTATGGGTCACATTTTTTAGGTGGTGACAAGCCATTGCCAAGTTAGGAAATGAGACAAGTGAGGCATTGAGCCAATGATCAAGCTGTGCGTTATGATGTGAAGGGGTGGTTTAGGATAACTTGGCTTGCCGCATAGAAATATAATAACAACCTCGATAACTAACTGCACGACCTGGTGAAGTTTGAACTACCAATATTTTGACATTAACCTGATGACTAGATCCATCGTCAAATAAGTCTTAATGCAGCAGTGTCATCTCACTGTAAGAAAAATCTTTGAAATGAATACTTTCCAAACAAATACAATAATCATAAACTTGCTAAAGTTGTCAAAAACACAACCAAAAAATAAAAGGAACTCCTCATTTAATTAGATTCCTCATCATAATTCTCATATTTCATAAACTATTTATTATGTCAGACGCTTGGACCCATCGGAAATCATGCAGGCCAGAGAATCAACATTTCCCAATAATGTGGAAGCATTTGAGATTCTCTAAGCATGGAAAAGGGCACGTGCGCAAAATTATATGGTTACTGTTGATGCCCAATTAACACACAATAATTGAAAGATCCCAATAGAATAGTGAATAAAATCAACTGCCCTGACACAATCTACAAACATGGTCACAACAGATTCCATATCACTCAAGAATATAACAATCACAAATGAACAAACAATTGTAACCGCAAAATATAGTTAGCAAATTTCTTACTTGTATTGGTGTTGAGCTCTCCTTGGCAGCAGGTGGGGGATCATTCGAACCAGCCCAACTCGATTGAGGCGGAGCCGTGGTGGCATAGTAATCATCATCATCCTCATCATCAACATCAGCCCACGATTTCACAGTCAGCGGCGCTGGAGCCCAAAAAACCTGCGGCTCGGGCTCCTCCTTGTCTTGCTTCTTCTTGGAAGAGCTTTTGCTCTTGGATGAACCTTGTTCTTTGTCAGACTTCTTCTTCTTCCTTAGGGTTCCGAGAGCCGCAAACACATTGGTACTGTTCAGAACCAAAGACTCATCCTTTCTGTTTCCACCTCCCACCATTCTCTCAACTCAATCTCAGCGCCACTATTGCTTCAAACGAACAAAGTTTATTAAAGATTATAGCGATTTTGATGAAGATTGAGAAGATCGAAGTTGGAATCAATGAAAAAGATTTCTAGTACATTCGGAAGAAAGTGAAGGAAAGTAACCAGATAGCAGTCAAGGTAAGAAAAGGTTGACTTCAGTTGAATTCGATGATGATGATATAGTAATTAGAATAAAATCAGATTGAGAGAGCAAGAGAGACACGGTTAATTTTCTCGGGAATATGAACAAACAACAACACAGATTGATTAAGAAATTGTACTGGCCAAAGTAGAGAAAATTGGGATACGATGAAGCGAGCGGAGGATGATTATTTTCTCGGGAAAATGAGAAGGAGACAATTTTCTAGGGAAAATGAAGACAATTTTGGGATAAGTAGAACGAGAAGAGAAGGGTTTGGTTTGGGTTCGGATATGGCTTATAAATGATAGGCTACTAGGGTTTGGTTTGGATGAGAGCTGAGACGAAGGCTGTTTTTGGTCACGGAGAGTGTTTTGGGGACCTGTATGCATGTATCTCTGTATATATACGTGTGCACATTTTTGTCAGATAATGGGCGTAGGTGATGCGATTTTTGAAACGATAATTCTACGTAACTCAAATTTTGTGACTTAAATAGTCAAAACAACGTCGTTTTGAGTATAGAATAACATAAAAATAGCCAAAACGAAATCGTTTTGGCCATTTGAGCCACTTTTGAGCCACAAAATTTGAGTTACGAGACATTTTCATTTTTGAAACCATTTGGTTTACACTTTTCTTTGAATTTGAGTTTTTAATTTTTTATATTTTTAATATTTTTTTTAAGAAAAATGATGCAGACCACTAATTAGTGGTTGCACTAGGGATATGGCAGTGGGTGCATGTGTTTTGTGTCTTAGTTTTTTTTTGTTTTTGGCTTGCCACATCATTAGTGGTGATGTTAGTGGTGATGTTTTAGTGGTCTGTATCATTATTGTTTTTTTAAATATTTTATATAATTTTTTTATTCTTTAGATACATATAATGTACATATACTTAAAAAATATAATATTTGTGATTTTTTTTTAAAAAAATTAACAAATATAAAAATTTAATACATTTTCATATTTTATTGTAGGGTAAGTTAAACTGACACCCCTGAAGTTTCTGTTTAATACAAATCCCCTTTCACATTTAAAAAAATACTTTTATTTCTTGACATATTAAAATAGGAAAAATTGGTCTAGGGTCCCTCTCCCACTTTTTATAATGGAAGAGATCCACAAAATTATTTTTTGATGTCTAAGATCCCTAAACATACAACAGAAAAATTTCAGTCCTTTACCCAGTGGAGATTCTCGGCCTTGTTCTCCTTCTCTCCTTTCCTCTCATCGCAATCGCATACATCTTCGTCTCCGAAGCCCTCGCGATCCAGGCGCTCATCTTCATGTCCTGTCCTGATTACCGCATTTTATGTCCACAACTTCAACAATGTAAGATCCTCTTTTATCAGGTTTATCTCTAATAGGAGTACTTCTGTCTAAGGATATGTTATCAGAGTCGAGCATTGGTATTTGATGGGTTTTCCGATTGTAGTGTTTTGTTTTTCGGGCAATTTCAGTGCTTTTCTTATTCACGATGCTGCTGCTGCTGCTACTGCTGCTTGCTTCATCCAGTGATGTTCTTGGCTTTAGTATTTTAGGAGTAGTGGCATCACTAGGAACCAAAATAGAAACTGTAGGAGATTTCTTCCTAGGTGTTTGAGGATCAGACTTTGTGGATTCTAATTCCCTTGACATTAAGGTACCAATTGTCCCGGTGGACCCAACTTTGATGGATCCTCCACCACCCTTGATGGCTTCCAGTGTCGGAACCATGTTTTTTTCAATCATTCTTGAAAGCTTTTCTTTTCCAGAGGGAAAGTTTAAGATCTCAAGATACTGTCAGAAGTAACAGCATGGTATGAATTCTAAGTATGCGTTTCCATGACAAATTTGTAATGTTGAGATGAAACTTAGGAAATTTCTTCATATCTCAATTAAGAAGTTTTCAATCAATTTCAAACTCTCGCAAGTGGGAATTTCTCTGGTTTGTCTGGTTTGAAGAGAATTTCTCTGGTTTTGGACCAGAGAAATTTGTGGGTTTGTGGGTTTGTTAGACATGGATTTAATTGTAGTTAATAGAGCCAAAGAAATTTGCGAAGTCAAAGAAATTTTCTGGATAGCCATACAAATTTCCTTTCCACAATTTTCTCTGGATTTATTTGGTACTCAGAGAAATTTCAATTTTCTCTGGAGAGAATTTCTCTGGAACTTAAATTTCTCTGGATTTCAATTTTCTCTGGAGAGAATTTCTCTGGGACTGAAATTTCTCTGGATTTCAATTTTCTCTGGAGAGAATTTCTCTGGGCCTGAAATTTCTCTGGATCCTGTTAAGGGACCTTAGACATCATAAAAATATTTGATGTCCTTTATATTATAAAATCATAATATCAGGGACCTTAAAAAAAATATCCCATTAAAATAACATATTTGTTCCTTAGTCTTTACACATATAAAATAATATAAATATTTTGTTCATGTCATTTCAAGAAAAATAACAATTATTTTTTTTTAGTTTAACTCATACAAAAAAGTTTTTTATTTTTTTTATTTTTATTGATTTTTTTAATATTTTAAGTATTTTTTATTTTTTATTTTTAGATACAACTAATCTAAATATACTTAAGAACTATAATTGTCCTATTTGGTGGAGTTTTTTTAAGCTAAAAGCTAATAATTAGAAAATAAGCATCCCTACCCCAGGTTTCAAATAATGTGCCCGTTTGGTAGAGCTGTGGGAAAGTGATTATAGATTATGGCTTAACAGATTATAAATTATAACTTTAAACATAAGCTGTTAACTTGTTTGGTGCAGCTGTGGGATTACAAATTTAATCAGCAAAGTAGTGTTTGGTTGAATAAACTGTAAAATAGTTTTTTGCTGTTTAATGTCTTTTTTGCCCTTATAAGATATAAAAATTGTTATTTTTTCATTTTTTTCAGTTTTAATTTAAAAAAACATTATTTCATTAATTGTAAAATAAATTGTGCAATTTATTTAATTTTGTTTAATTTATTAATTCATTACAATTAATATCAATTACTATTCATGTAAATTGTTTCATTTATATCAATAATTTTTGTTCATTACAATTAATAATATAAAAAATTGTTATTTTTTTAATTTATTAATTCATTACAAAATATACCAATTAATATTTTTTTTTTCTTTTTGTTTTTTTTTTCTCTTCTTTTCTCTTTCATCAATATGCCGCCGGTGGTCTGCAACCCTAGCCATCGTCGCAATCTGGAACGGCAGAGAGGGAGAGAAGACGACAACGACGACTCTGGTTCAAATCACGATGCATAGGGTTTTGCCTTAAGATCGATACGACGGTGACTCTAGTTAGGGTTGTTGATTGCGAGCTAGGGTTGATCGTCATCACAACCACGATGCTCGAGAGAATTGTAACGCCCTAAAAATATGCATAATGATAGTAAAAATACCATGGTTCCTCATGATAACCCGGAATAAATCCCCAACGCTTGCATTACATGATCATGGGGTTCGTACAAAATAATTCCACATGCGAGTATACGTTAAAGATTTCTAGTACATGAATCTATAGCATGTGGAACAATATTAAACCCAAAAATAAATAAATACCCTTAAGGGCTTACAAATTCCAAAGCTTAAGCTCGGTTATACAAAAATGATTTTCTCGAATCCATACAATTATAGCCCTTGGCTAGCAAAATGTACCCTAGCAAAATGTACCACAACAAAACGAGAGCCTTGTGCTCTCAACATATACATCCACGCTCTAATTCGGCAGAATCATTACATTTTTTCCTGTACCAAAATCCTATAGGGTGAGCATAAAGCGCAGTAGGAAATTCTTAACAAAATATATACATTTTATACAAGTCTCGAGAAATGAAATGCACATGCCATGCTATGCCATTTTGAAAGAAAATCACATTTCCTCATCTTTTGAAAACCATCGTGCTCAATGATATCTTGAAATTTCAACAATTCAAAATTTATCAATTTAACTCAAGGGGCGGTAAATACAACTCATGTAATCCCTAGGTTGGAGTCTGCAAGTAGGCATAACTAGCACTACCAAAATCCCACTTTACAAGTTGCTAACCGGAAAGGAAGTGATACCTCATCCTCGCGTGTTTTTGGTCTTTCACCCCGGACACTTAGGCCAACTTAATCAATTTCATCTACACCTCCTATCCGGACTTACCAACGTATTTACCTCAAAACAATTCCATGAAAAATTAATTCACAAACCTTCTTTTCTCAAAGCAAAAGTTTCCAAACTCAATTTAAAATTTGCAACAAGTTGAATGGATATGCAAATGCCACAATTATCAATGCCATATAACATTTCTCCATTCTCAATTATCTCATACAATAATTCCATAATAATCAAAATTCCCATTTTCTTCTTTCAATGTCATTTCACAAAATAGCCACATATTCATTTAAACCATCAATGAGTAACAACATTCCCATACTTTGTGCATTCCTAACAATTTAGTCATTACAAGACTATATCAACATTTGAGCAACAACTTCCAAGATCAAAAATATTCCCTTGTTTCATGAAGTTCATTATTTATATATGAAAATAAGGATTTTTTCAATCATTTATTCATCTTTGCACAAAGGAAATATAATAGTAACAATGTCATCCATGGTTCCTTAACATCTTTTAACCCCCCCAAATTTTTAGGTTTTCTCACCACAACTATATACACCCAAATCATTTGAAATAATTTCTTCAAAATAAAACATTTTTCTTCAATCAATGTAGTTTGAAACCCTCAAAAAATTATTTCAAAAGAAACAAGGAGCAAATCCACTCCCAAACCACTCACATTCTTGAGCTAACCATCAAGTTTCAATACTAACAAGGAAAATTTTGAAAATTTTGAAAATCTTGCAAAAATATATATATAACTCTAAGAAAAATCTCTACCTCAAGTGTGAATAAGAATGAGATGAAACCCTCAAATTCAATAGTGTTGAAACTTGATCTCCACTGCATAAAACGGAGCCCTTGAGAAATTATCCAACTTTAATAAAGGATGTTGGGTCAAAATTCCAATGGATTTAAAGAAATCAAGGATTGTTCTTATTTGGTATAGGAAATGTAGAGAGAATGAGGAGAAGAGGATTTTTAGAGAGAGAGAGAGAGAGAGAGATATATACAAAAAGTGAGATACACTCATCCCAAAGAGAAGAAAAACAGATTTTTTTGGGACTTAGCGACTCCCACGCGTGCGGTAACCCCCTTCCGCATGTGCAACTCACCACCCAACACGTGCAGCGCTTCTTCTCCGCACCTGCATATAATGCATAATGCGCCAAGGTAGCTCATCTCCTCACCGCACGTGCGACCTAGGCCCCCGCACGTGCGGTTAGCATAACTTGGGACACCCCGGATTGTACCCCATATCTTTTGAAACGTGTGAAACTTGACA